AAAATAAAATAATTTTACAAAGAGCAGAGGTAGAAAATTTAGCAGTCTGCTATTTTTCTATACATCTGCTTCATATAACTCTTATGTAATATTTCATACACATATTCTTACACCTATATAAACCGCAATATATAATATAGATTATAAATATTAATTATATATACAATACACGCATGGTGCCAGCATATCTACGTCTCATACATATGTTTCGACTTTTAATATAAGGCCATTCGATTAAAGATTTCCTTACATAACTGCAAAAATAGTTTTGCAATTTACTATAGCTAAAGATTCACTTAGTGCAATTGTATCGACGATACTAAATGAACCTTTTTTCTCTAACTACAAATTTCGAATGAATACCAAAAAAAAAAAAAAACCGAATAGGACTCCGCAGAAAAATAACTATTTTGTAAGACAACCGTTTTATACGGCAAAGTATAACCGTTAACCGTTTAACATGTTCCATATTAAGTAACAGTATTTCCAAAGAACACAGTGAAATTTAACTTAAAAAATTCACTACTATTTGCAAGAAAGGGTATTGGTGCTGTGGATAAATATAGATTTAAATAGCACAAAACATTTAGGAATGCATCCTAGGGATAAAATATCTGAATTAAGTAACTCATGACGGAAAACTATTCCATGGTTGAGAAGGTCGGATATGTTTCGAGGGTGGTGGAGGAGGAAGGAAACAACGCTCTCTTCAATCTTTACATCTGTGGCAGCTGGTCGATGGGCGTGGCGAATTTGAAGTCCTCGGGGAAGAGCTTGCACGCGTGCGGATACATTAATTTATACGACTGCCGAATCGTGACGTCCGCGACACCGGCGATATCTCCGATCTCCTTCTGCGACCTCTTATCTTCCGATGCCTGCGTAAAGACGAAAAGTTGCACGGAATAATGCGCGCTCTCTTAAAGTGTGGAGATGTCATAGATTGTCACGTTAACATGGCACTACATACTTGGGAAGCCATATATATCGCGGCAGCGGCGACCGAGATGGGTGATCTGCCTGGTACAATGTCAATCTCCACTGCCTTCCTTGCGATATGCGTTGCGGCTCTTTGCACCATGTTCCGTAGTCCGAGATTCGAGCAGAATCTGGACATGAAGTCGCCCGTAGTGATGAGATCCACGCTGGTCTCAAGGGCTTTGAGAATTAGCTTGAAGCACCGACCGATCTCCTTCTTACTGATCTTACTGACCGCACAGATTTCCTTGAAAGTACGCGGGACTCCCTCTTGTCTGCAGGCAATGTACAGACAGGCGGACGCGATCGCGTCGTTCGCGCGACCCTTCAAGTTCTTGCCATCGTGCACCTGTTTGAATAGCGCGTTGGCCCTGTCCACGATGGTCTTCGGCAAATTGATACGATCCGCCATACCGGTGATCTCGCGATACGCATTTATCAGAGCTCTGTCGGCACTGGTCATCTAAAAGAAAAATACGATACGTCTATATGAATATTTATATGTTATAGGATGTGTAAAGGAGAAAGAAAGCGTAATACTAACAGTGCGTCGATTTTGATATTTGGCAGTGCCGAAACCGTCAAAAGACGCAGCTCCAGTTCCTGGCCCGATCATTGTGGACAAGTCTGAACCATTCAGAAGCGGATTTTCTGGGCCACCGACACGTGACGGGTCCACTCCTGATTTCTCATTGCTGAAGGTTCTCCATTCTGAGCCTACATCTATCACTCTATGATAAATAAGAAAATAATCATATTAATATTGAATCAACTGGTACTTGACCTTATGTTTCAATTCTTGTTGTTCTTACCTATCTCCAACGACTAATCCACATTCTGAACAAATTTGATCGCCTGCTCTATAGTCTTCTATGAGTGGAGCATCTGGGTGTGAGTAACAGCAGACTTTGTTTGTGTAGTGTCTATAAGATATAACAATAATAACATAATAACATCATATTTGTATTAAAATTACTTAAAACTAAATTAGTTTGCAAATAAAATCGCTATTCTGCGAATATCAAAGACAATGCAAAGAGTTTGTTCAAATTACATAGCTAATAATAAAACTAATAACAAAGCTAATAAATAAATAAAAATGAATAAATACATAGTTAATATATAATAAATATTTAGTTAAGAATTACATAACTAATGATACTAAAGTATTGTTTGTAAATATATGCCCTAATATGTCCATCAACTTCGGAGCTAAGGTTTCCAAGTCAAATGCATTGTCTTAATGCATCATAATTGTTGATTAAAAAAAGCGCGACGGATGTTAATTTCACTATCTGAATTAATAATGTATGTATTTAACACGTTGACTGTCAACTACGAGATATCTCGTAGGTTGTTTACTTGCCCAGGACGCCAACTACGAGTTATCTTGTCGCTTCATTATTTGATTAAATAAAATTGGCTTCTTAGACCAGAATCGTGAAAAGTTCCGTGGCAGTCAACGTGTTAAGAACAATAGATTTAGATTGAAAATACCTTAGTTAGAGTTGGAAGGCATCGATTAAGTGCCTAGTGTAATAGAGTTTTATGATAACATATAGCTTTGAAATTACAGGAAGATTTATTTTACGGCGTATTTTCCTCTATCAATTTATTTGCACTTTGGTTGAAAAAATATGTTCCACGTGGTATAAATAAGATTCTTTCACATATTCTACGCGATCTTAACCTTCACAAGACGTGTACACTAACAAAAGCTTAAAGTGATTATACGCGACGAAAATGATACTTTTAGTAATAACTTTTTTAAAATAATATGAAAATTTCGCGATACTCACCGCGACGAACTTGCCATCTTTTCGCACTTGCGTGATATACAATCTTATGTGATTTCACCTTTGACAATGACTACTACGGACTGTAAGTATATCATATATTATTCGCGTTATATCATCGATAAAGCACTATCATAGATAGTTGACTTTGATTAAATTTTCATACATATCTTGAGATGTGCTCCAACATTTACTGCCAGTACTGAAAATCTGTAATATACGTTAGTCCTAGCTTACAATAGGTGCTTTAAGCCCTGAGCCTTAAGAAATTGACCAATCATAATATAATTATAGAAGAATAATCAGTTGTGATTGGTCAATTTCTTAAGGTTTAGACTTAAACCATCTATTGTAGACCAGGACGAAAAAAATTCAATTTTTAGAGTTCCCAGCCAGTAACTTTCTTGTTTCCATAAACAAATTCTCCTATTGGATGTCAAATGACATCGAAATATTTCTGTCTGTTCTTTTTAGCTCGACCGATGAGTTGATTTATTAAATTAAAGTGTGACAAATATATTTTGCCGTGCTTAAATTTATCGTACCAATTCAACGGTACAGCAAAAAGAACGGACCAATTGCATTTTATCTCATCGAGTGCGTTGCAAATCCTCCATTAGTCAGCAAGTTTTACGGAATGCTGTTGGCGCGCCAGTAGCGCGCATCGACCGACCAATCGCGACCCCCGAAGGCGCTACTATCGTCGCGCCGGAACATATGGGTGATAAACGGGCGAATTCTACCACGGCTAGATGGAGCATCGCGGAAGCCACGGTGTTCGGTGATCCTCAGTACTGTGCGGGCGAGTGAGAATAGTGTGTCATCTGTAATAGCGCGATCGGCGGCGGACTATCTATCGGTGGCAGCGGAGGTGGCAGTGGTGGTGTGCGTGTGTGTGCGCGCGCGAGAAAGAGAAACGAGGGAGAGAGAGAGAGAGAGAGAAAGAAAGAGATAAAGAGAGAGACAGCGCGCAGTGTTACGTGTTTTTTTGAGCCTCGTCCGTGTTGTGCTCGCCATGACGTTGCTCTGAAATCGTATCTCAATAATATCAATCCCGATGTTGGCCATAGGATTGCGCCAATGTGACTTTCATGCTTTTAACGAGGAGAGCATCCGGGGCGGCAATTCGTGGATACCGAAGAAAGCTTCAAACGCGTTTGAAGCTTTCGAGGTCGTATTCATGGAACTATGAACCTGGACTCGTTGTCTTTTACTTTGTCACAAATCAGTTATTTGGTTGCGAATTTGAGTAAGAGAAATTTTCGGGAGAGCTGTCAAGAGATCTCGGTCGTAAGTATCGCATTTTCGTACGGCCGTTTCGGCCCCACAGTGGGCTCTATTTCCACGTTATGCTCCACACGACAATCCACACCTCTCTCTCTCTCTTTCTCCTCTTCTGCCCCTCTCTCCCCTTCACCCCCGCGCTTTTCACACCGTTTCCCTCTCCCTCCCGCCCATCCCGCTCGCATGACGACCCTCTTCGGCTCCTCGCCCGTCGTACCCAGCGAAGATATACAACGCAATATGCTCATTTAGCGCGGATCGTACGGGACTCGATTTTTCCGCCGGTCCTCCATCCCATAACCCGATAGACCGGACGTACTCGCGGGGCGATGCGCGCATCGCGTGCACGCGCGCGCTACAAGGCGAGCTCGCACGTTGTAAGGCGCTTTGTCGCGCGCCATAGGAGGTATTTTCAAAACAGCATGCCGATACCTGCCTCTCCTAACGTACAGATTTTGAATCGCGAGATGTTTGCTAAGCACAAACGCTCGCCCTCACCGCGTATTATTTACCTGCGCGTGTACCTTAACCTCGTCGACTCCAGCGCATCCTTTGTTCTTGTTCCATGGCCGGTGGTTTCCCTCGAGAGCTTCTCTGAAAAAAATTCGATGTGTCTTGATTCTTATCGCTCCTTTGTATCGGCAAATCCAAAGAATTTTCCTCGCCCGTGATACTCGAGGTATCATGTGTTATTGTCGTTAATCATAACGATAATGGTGAAATCATCGAAGGTTGAAAGCCAAGCTATCATACTAATAAAACGATAACTCTACAGCTGGTGCAGTGGACTGGCCTGGAGGCGGACCGACATTTGTTGCGCTGTTTGATCTCGTACGTCGACTTCTGCAGCAGCGAGCGGTCAGAGTCCAGCTCCAAGGATTACTTTCAAGCACAGCTGTTGAAGCAGGAGTGTGCCACTTTACTGAGCAAACCGTCCTTGGTATCGAATTTGTGCTTCGCCATCGATCATCCTTTGCATCATCAGAAGGTATGTGTATGTTGTATTGTTTTGGATATTTCCAAGGTAGGATGTGTATATTAACCATTCCATTTACTTTGTAGTCGTTGAATCCCTCCTCCAAGTTTTTTGCCAACTTAAAAAAGACACTTGGTTTGAGCTTGGTGCAAGAGGTTGCTTTCGCAATTGCGTTACATCATTCAGAGAACACAGAGATCCGCACGTTGGCCTTGGAACACACGCAGAAGCAGCTGCCTGAGCTGATAAAGAACTACGTGAACTCGGAGACCAGCAACAAACACCACGAGGAAGGTCTGCACGATTCGTCGCCCGAGGTCCTCCACTTAATACTCAGCCAGGCTTTTCATACTGCCAATCCGTACAACCTTCCCGCCGAAGCGAAGGAAAAATTTCTCAAGAACTTACGACGCGATTTTCCCCGTGAACTGGTACCAGTGGTGCTAGCACCACTTTTGTATCCAGGAGACGGGGAAACTCCGCAATCCAAAATTGAGTTAAACATGGCGGTCAGTCAAATGGTAAAGCAATATTGATCGCGTTATTCGCGATCTTTCCTTTCGGCACTTGTCTAGCAGTCTCATTTTTCATCTCCCTTGTAGGATGGCAACTCTCTAGCAGAGTTAATTATGGAATTAGGCTACAGTCTCACCATTAGCGTGGAGGAATGTCGGTCTGCATTAGCGGGTTTAGGCGCTAGAGAAATAACACCAGCATGCGCCGCACGTGTGTTGGCGCACATGGCGCGTACCTGTAGTAATCACGAGGACACTGGAGGGATACAGTCGTTCTGGGGTAATTCGACGGCGACGCAGGACTCCAATAAGGAAAAACCATCGGAAACTGCCGTCCCGACGACATGGAACATCGAAGTATTCGTTCAGGCCCTAAAGGAGATAGTGAGTTTGACACTCGTATGTATTTACCAGAGTCTGTAACTGCAAACAATCCCTCATTGTTAAATTTCAGCAAGCCACATTGTCGTGGAACGAAGTCATCGTGAAGTTGGATCACGCCGAGTTCGTTATCAAAGATAGACAAGGCTTAAACCTACTGATTACGGCTCTGAAATTGGGTCTCCAACATCAGGGATATCCGCCCGATATGTTTCCCGTCGAGCTCTTCTATAGATACTGGGAGAACGTAGAGGGCCAGTTCTCTCTGATCCAACAGATTCTTAAGTGTCCGGATATATTCTGCTTCGCGGATTATCCGTACCACTCCGTAACCGTGGACGTACTGAAGGCAGCGCCCGAAGGTGACAGTAAAGAGGCCCAAACGTGGAGGTCGCTCAATATAGTGGAATTGCTTCTGCACATGTCGGAGAGAGGATTGTACACCCCGGTGCAGGAATTGTTTAAATGGCCCATCCAACATTGCCCCGACGTGCTCGTGTTGGCGTTACTGCAGATAAATCCACCTCTCTCGCTACTGAGACAAGACCTGCTCAGCACGCTGATGCCCATCTTCTTCGGCAATCACCCCAACTCGGCCGTAATATTGCATCACTCTTGGCACGCGAATAACTCCAAGATAAAGACGATCATTATGCACGCAATGGCTGACTGGTACGCACGTGGTGACCACGATCAGACGAGATTATCACGTATCTTGGACGTCGCGCAAGATCTCAAGGCGCTTTCGGCGCTGCTGAACGCGCAGTCTTTCCCGTTCGTCATTGATCTCGCCTGTTTAGCGTCTCGACGGGAGTATCTGAAGTTGGAAAAGTGGTTGTCGGACAAGATCAGAGATCACGGGGAAGTTTTCGTTGCCGCGTGCGTTAAGTTCCTCCAGAGACGTTGCCCCCAGGTGATGGGCGCTGGCATCAAGGAGGACTCCACGGTACCCAAAGCGAGCCAATTACCGCAGGAGACGCTTACTACAATACTCGCTTGCCTGCAAGTCTGTGCTGGGTACGAACTTTTGAATTTATACGAAATATTAATGCTGCGTGCACGATGGCACCTTTGACGATCTCCTCTCTTCTCTTTTGAACACTGCAGAAATGTTTCCCAAGAATGCTCGGATTTGATAGTGACGATGGTTCAAAACTGCAGTCTGATGTTGAGTAAGAATGTCAACAGACCACCGCCGCCTGGAGTTTTGAGACATCGGGGATTGGAGCCGTTCAACCCGGCTACTCTAGGGAGCCAGGTATTTATAATCCGCGTCTCTTTAAGACCACACACGTTGTGACATACAACTACTTACGCATCGACTTGTGATCTTCCACTAGATATTCTCCTCGAAGCAAGTAGATCCTCTCGGTAATCTGAGCTCGAGTCTCGCGTCCATGGGTCTCAGCACTGGTCTCGGTCCGCCAAGCAGTTCCGCCTTCAACCTGCCGGGCGCTCTGGGGCCTCTAGTTTCGGCACCCGGGTCTCCTTCGCGACTCATGGGACCTTCTCCGAGCCCGTTTCCGATGTTGCCTTTAACATCGCAGTTGCACTCAGGCCCGGTTGGCACTCAAGGCCCGTCAGTGCTTCCCGGCGGCACGACCATCGGTGGATTAGGGCGCCTTGCGCCGCCAGCTGGCATCGAGAAGGCGAGGATCCCTGATATCTCGAGCTTATTTCCGGACATGGCACAGCCCGTGGCCAAGGAGATCGAAGACGAGGCGAACAGCTACTTCCAGCGTATATACAATCACCCACCGCATCCGACCTTGTCGATTGACGAGGTGCTGGACATGCTGAAGAAGTTCACGGACTCCACCAACAGGAGGGAGAGGGAGGTGTTCCAGTGTATGATGCGGAACCTGTTCGAAGAGTACAAATTTTTCCCGCAATATCCCGAGAAAGAGTTACAGATAACGGCGCAGCTGTTCGGTGGTATCATCGAGCGCGGCCTTATCGGTAATTACTTAACGCTCGGGATGTCGTTGAGATTCGTCTTGGACGCGCTCAGGAAGCCGGAGGGCAGCAAGATGTACTATTTCGGTATAACCGCCCTGGATCGCTTTAAGAGCCGCTTGAAAGACTACTCGACGTACTGCGATCATCTCCGTGGTATTCCGCATTATAGCGACTTTCCACCGCATTTGATGGAGTACATCGAGTACGGATCGCAAGGGCAAGAACCACCGGCGAGGTCACAGGGCCCGAAAGCCATCACGACCATGTTAGGGGCGCCAGTCACGACGTTGTACAAGACCATGACCACGACCACTATAACGACCAGCACCACGCAGGCGAAACCGTCCACGACCCCGACTACGTCTCTCTCAGCCAGAGTGAGTATGACGATATCTTATCAGAAATGTTTCCGACCCAGTCGACACCTCGATATAACACAATGCGATTGTTCCCATAGCCCTCCATCGCGAATGCAACTAACATCGATACTTTGCTCGTGGCTACGGACAAAGAGGAGAAGATCACGACACCGCCGGAAGCGTTGCAGGACAAAACGGCGTTTATCTTCAACAATCTCAGCCAGCTGAATCTGCAGCAGAAGTGCGATGAGATTCGCGAGATCGTCACGGAGGAATATTGGCCGTGGATGGCGCAGTACTTAGTGATGAAACGCGCTAGCATAGAACTGAACTTTCACGCTCTGTACTCGAATTTTCTAGATTGCATCAAGTTGCCCGAGCTCAACAAGATGGTCACCAGAGAAACGTTTCGTAATATCAAGGTAGGTCGAGCGTTGCAGTTCGTGGCAGAACGCCACTCGTCAGTTGAACGTCTGTTGTCCTCGTGCCGACTCTGATGTAAGTTTTATTATCTTTATCCTAGGTGCTTCTGCGCAGTGACAAGGGTATAGCTAATTTCTCAGATAGATCGCTCCTAAAGAACTTGGGGCATTGGCTCGGTATGCTGACACTTGGCAGGAATAAGCCTATTTTACAGGTATATTATTGTTCTTGCAAGCACATACAAGGTATCCTAGCATAAGAACACTTAAATATCTCTGCTTTTTTTTAATGATATGAGGAATGTTTAGAATCGAAAATATGACCGTAAAAAATTCTTCCGTGGTATTCCTCCTTCGAAACCATTCAAATTGTGCTCTAAACATTTCTCATGTCATTAAAAACAAAGGAGATATTTAGGTGTTCTCCTTATGCTGGGACACCCTCTATATCACTTACACGAGTGTGCTGCACACATTATATCGATTCTTAATCATTCACCAGGTGGACATTGATCTGAAAAGTTTACTTGTTGAGGCGTATCACAAGGGGCAGCAAGAACTTCTTTATGTGGTGCCTTTTGTCGCAAAAGTACTCGAGAGCTGTGCGAAAAGCCGCGTCTTTCGGCCGCCCAATCCCTGGACTATGGCGATTATGAACGTTCTGGCGGAGCTTCACCAGGAACCCGACTTGAAACTCAACTTGAAGTTCGAGATTGAAGTTCTCTGCAAGAATCTAAGCATCGACGTTTCGGTCAGTGTGCGTTGTGCTCCACTTTGACTTCAACTCGTATATTCTTTCCGTTGCTTACAGACCTTTGTTTCCGCGCAGGAGCTGAAACCGGTCATTTACCTGAAAGATCCCGAGAAATTGCGCAACTTGGAGTACCAATTGTCGCAACCGAACAAAAAGTCGGAAAACTCGAACAATCAGCCGCAATCTCAGGGTCCCATAGAGGAACTGGTAGGACCGACGACTAGCGGCACCATTGTTCCTCAGACCGCGCCTCCTGCGAACACGACACCCTCGTTACCGACCGGCCCGCCTGAGCCACGATTCAATTACATGGATATATCCATAACCGGCATCGCTAACATATCTTCGCACATTACTCTGAATAATCAGGTATGCGACAAAACTCGTTTAAAAGTTTCTCTGTTTAAAAGACAATGATATGAGCTGAACTCAAGAAGTGTACGATTATTGTTCGCGTACTGTGATACCCGCGATTTCACACGTACGTATGCGTTTATTTTTCAGTTACCTCTTTTCCAAGCGCATCCGCATATGAAGCAGTTCGTCCGTCCAGCGATCGAACGAGCTATTCAGGAATGGATCCATCCGGTCGTTGATCGTTCCATGAAGATCGCTATAACGACCAGCGAGCAGATTGTAAGAAAAGATTTTGCACTGGATCCGGAAGAAATGCGGATGCGAACAGCAGCACGTCATATGGTGCGCAATCTGACCGCTGGCATGGCTATGATTACGTGTCGCGACCAGGTAAGACAACAAGAGGTAAGCCTGAATTAGGGGTGAATCGGTCTCAGATAAGTATATTAAATGTCTCGTTTGTTCACGAATGCGGGTCGGACAAAATTTCGGTCTAACATTTCACCTTCGACGACAAAGCAGCCACTGACGGAACAGAAGTGGTACGAATGCTGGCCGAGTGTTGACGAAAGATATTAGACGACTGTTACTCGACTGATGAACAATTGTTTTTTCCATTAAATAGGAACAAGTAAAAATTTTTAATCTGACCGGAGAAAATTCGAAGATTTTGCTAATTTTTTTATTTCCATCTAGCTCCTCACGTCGATCAGCGCGAACCTGAAGCAGTCTTTCCTCGCGGCGATGATCACCTCGACTCAGCAGCAGAAAGATCTCGCTGAACAAGCGGCGAACATAGTCGCCGCCGAGAACATGGAGCTCGCGTGTGCCTTCGTGCAGAAGACTGCTATGGAGAAAGCGATACCGGAAATGGACAAGCGGCTATTGAATGAGATAGAATTACGCAAGATTGCTCGACAGGAAGGAAGACGATACTGCGATCCCCTCGCCAAATACCAGGCCGAAAGAATGCCGGAGCAGATCAGGCTGAAGATGGGCGGTGTGACGCCGCAGCAGATGGCGGTTTACGAGGAGTTCGCCAGGAATCTCCCAGGTTTCCTCCCTCTCTCCGAACGAGATACACAAGCCCTCTTCATGCCGAAGCCTGCCACCGTAAGAGCCGTCGTTTTCTCTTCATTTCAATCATAACTGAAAGATTAGGAGTTTCTATTAGGCTTGTTTGTTTTAACTGAACTAGATTGCATTTTTTGCACTTAGAATAAAACATATAAATATATAATCTAACGACGTAGGAGAGGGGAGGAGGGGGGAAGAAGTTCCAGTACAATACCAGTTCAGCTAAAACGAACAAACCTATCATTAACGAAGACTGATTGTATTTCTCTCGCGTACCCGCAGGACACCACTGTGACCTCCTACGTCGCGAATCCGGCTGTGGCGGTTGCGGCGGCGCAGCAAGTTGTCGCTTATGCGACGGCATCGGCGGTCAGTAACGATGAGGTCGGTGCCATGCTGGAGAAACTCGTCGCGGAAGTGGAGATCGTATTGACCGCTATGGGTCCAGCGACGCCTCCTGCTCAACACGGTGCTCTCCACAGTCTCCTCGAGTCGATTATCCTCACCAGACGGTCGAGAGACACTGGTGCAGCGATGAATCTCTTAAAAAAGGTCGGTTGTGCGCGCCTCAAACGTGGTGTCCAACCAGACGAGTTGTACAGTTGCGGCGTGGAACGCTCATCGATTGTTGTTTTCTCGCCTAGGCCGTCGAGGGCTTGCTAGATGGCCCTACGATCTCCAGCGGTGTCATCGATTCGGAAGTCGTCTTGCGATACAGAGACATGCATTTGCGTATTTTGAAGTGTCTTCAAGATCCACGCGCCTACGGTATGCAGTGGACCAACAAACATGTCACACGTTGTTTAATCGAGAGCAGAGAGGAGTTTCGATACAACTTCGAAGGTGTAGATTGTCTTATAAGGTATGATGCAGCTCTGAAGCATCCTCCCTTAAGGTCGATTGAGAAACGTTAACATGAGCAATATTATTTTGCAGGTCTCATCTGGTCAGTCTTCCTCAATATGACGTAGCGTTGGCGCAAGCCGTAGAAGCGGGAAACGCCTTGGCAACGGCATTCGCCATGCAATTGGTTCAATTGTATTTGATCGACGAAAGACAGACAACTCACGTCACGGAATCTGATTTGTTTCACACAATCGAGATACTCGCTCGCATGGCCCATCACCGAGCCCCACCGGAAGGGTAAGTATTAGCTTTTCATCGACAAGAGACTCGCCTGTCAGCATCTTAACACATTGGCTGCCGGGCTGACTTTCACAAAAAACTGATAATTGAAATACTAAAAGTACACAGTATACAAATGTAACTTAAGATACATGTATCTTTTACCTTTTCAACTTCATTAACTTTTTGTTAACTGTGCAATTAATTTGGTAGATGCAATTAATTAATATCAACATATATACTTTATATATATAACTTAATGAGACATAGTGACCTAATTTACACCGGTCGTTGATATGCGCATCAAATAGTAACTTTCTATCAAATTACCTCATCCCAACGATGCATGTAAATACACGATATACTAAGGTGATATAATACGGATTATGAAGACGGATTATTACCAATTTAATATACCGTTGTTTACACACGTTGCTAAAATGAAAATAATTCTGAATAAGATTACTTAGTTGGTATTTGTATTAAACAATCAGTATAAATAAGACCAATAGTGCCCGTGTCAGTCACACTAGTAACCATTACATTATTCAACGTGTTAACAGACCTATATTATCTGTGCTTTGGTTACGTCGCAATTTTTTTTTTTATCCGCCATATTACATCGATAGATTGAGAATAACACTCCAGTGCTACTCTGCTTGTCACCGCTGTCCAGTGACAATGCAACTCTATCATTAATGTTCTTCCAGAATCTTGCTCTACCGACTGACCAGCCTAATAGATTCACTGCGCGCCAACCACGACCCCGGCATACTGGCGGACAGAGCTCCAGCTGGACCTACCGCGCACATTCACTCCGGAATCCTGCAGGTGAGAGTAAGTAGATTGTCCAGGTATCCTCCCTCTCATCAATGCGCCCGAGCATACACGGTGAAGGTAACCTTGTCGCGCATCGTCGTTCAAGCAGGCTCGCGACTTCGACGATCCGCCCGGCTTGATGGACAAGACGGAGTATCTGTTGCGCGAGTGGGTCTCCATGTATCACAATCCCACGCACGCCCGCGACCCCACGAAGGCGTTCAGCATCTTCGTCCACCAGATGAACATTCACGGCATCCTCAAGACTGACGACCTCATCACCAGATTCTTCAAGCTGAGCACGCAGATGTGCGTCGACCTCTGTTACCGCGCTCTCGCCGAGTCCGCGGCGGCGCCGTCACTCGTTCGTGCCAAATGCTTTCATTCGTTGGACGCATTCGTGCGGCTGGTCGCGCTGCTGGTGAAGCACTCCGGCGACACCACCAACACTCACACCAAGATCAATCTCTTGAACAAAGTTCTTGGTATAGTCGCCGGTGTGTTGCTGCAGGACCACGAGATGCGCAGCACCGACTTCCAGCAGCTGCCCTACCACCGGATTTTCATCATGCTCTTCTTGGAATTGTGCGCACCCGAACCTGTGCTGGAGGCCGTGAACTATCAAGTACTGATGGCCTACTGTCACACGCTGCACATACTGCGTCCAGCTAAGGCCTCCGGCTTCTGTTACGCTTGGTTGGAGCTGGTCTCGCATCGGGTATTCATCGGTCGTATGCTGGCTATCACGCCGCAGCAGAAGTGCTGGGGAATGTACGCGCAGTTGCTCATAGACCTGTTCAAGTACCTCGCGCCTTACCTGCGCAACGCCGAACTCGCCAAACCTGTGACTCTCCTGTATAAGGGCACGCTTCGCGTGCTGCTGGTGCTGCTGCACGACTTCCCCGAGTTCCTGTGCGACTACCACTACGGATTCTGCGACGTGATACCGCCCAACTGCATACAAATGAGAAATCTCATTCTGAGCGCGTTCCCCAGGAACATGCGTCTGCCCGACCCGTTCACGCCCAATCTGAAGGTCGACATGCTGCAGGAGATCGCGCACGCGCCGCGGGTTCTCACCAACTTCGCGTCCACGATACAACCGATGACCTTCAAGAAGGAACTGGACTCTTACCTAAAGGCCCGCGCGCCCGTCACCTTCTTGTCCGAATTGCGCAGCAATTTGCAAGTGTCGCAGGAGGCCGGGGTGCGCTACAACATCCAACTGATGAACGCGTTGGTGTTGTACGTGGGCACGCAGGCGATCGCGTTCATACGCAGCAAGGGCCACGCGCCCAACATGTCCACAATCGCGCATTCCGCGCATATGGACATTTTCCAGAATCTGGCGGTCGACCTCGACACGGAGGGCCGTTATCTGTTTCTTAACGCAATAGCCAACCAGTTGCGGTACCCTAACAGCCACACGCATTACTTCAGCTGTACGCTACTCTACCTGTTCGCCGAAGCGAACACGGAAGCGATACAGGAGCAGATCACCAGGGTCCTTCTCGAGAGACTCATCGTCAATAGACCGCACCCGTGGGGCCTTCTAATAACGTTCATCGAGCTCATTAAGAACCCGACATACAAATTCTGGACGCATGAGTTTGTACATTGCGCGCCTGAGATCGAGAAGTAAGTAATTCGAATTTTCGTTGTTGAAAAGTAACAGCAAAAATGTGCATTCGTATCCCGCATCTAGCTAAATGCAATGACCGCGTTTGACTTTTATAAGATTGGAGAACTTGCGAAATAAGAAGCGATTGTGTGTAATAATGATATTTGGTCCTGTTTTAGCAATATTATTTATCTTAGTCATTTTTAACAATTTTATTAATGAAATACTCGTTAGCTAAGGTTCATGTTCTAAACTTATTTCTATCGATAAAAGTGCTTCAAATGCGATTTCTCAGTCAATCAGGTGGTTTCTAACTCATTTTTAGAAGCATTTTTATCGATAAAAGTAAGTCAGAATATGGGCCTAAGGAATCACGCCAGGACTTCTTCTTTAACATTGAGATAATTGTACGATTGGCATAATAAAAGTTGCAACTTTTTTCCAACGAGTTTCGCAACATTTCCGGCGTCCAATAGGAGAATTCGTTTTCTAGTAATTCTCAAGAAATACATTTTCCTATTGGATACGAAGTGTGTTGCGAAACTTATCGAAAAAATATGACAATATTTTATTATACTGACTGCGTGCACGTAATTATTTTAAAAACGAATCAGATTTAAGACTAGATGACCGCTGGATGTGAGATACGAATACAGACCGATAATTCTTGAACGATTACATAACTTTTTTTTCTTTTCGTTTTTTTTTCAGATTGTTCGAGTCTGTGGCTAGGTCGTGTATGGTGCAAAAGCAAGTGCAGCCCACTCCTGAGCCAGAGATTCCAGAGTGATAGAGTCTTTTTCTGTCACTATGTATATATATACATATATACATATATATGTGTATATATATATAGGTTAGGTGTGTGGGTGTGTGTGCGTGTGTGTACGTGTGTGTACAGTAAAATAAAAGTCGTACATAAGAATCGCGTGTAAAAAGTTGTTAACATAAGGATAGACATGTAATATTAAGTTCTCACAGTAGACAGGTATACTGACTAATCATACATTAAGTGTATCAATTCATAAGTAGCATATAAGTAAAGGTAATTATTGTGTTAATATTTTAATAAAAGGAATTCTTGCCATCAACTTGGGCAGCAACGAACACATTTTTTGATTCGTACAATGTGTCTCGGACAATTGCATCTCACATTATGTATGATATAGACAGGTTATATGTATATATTTTGCACACTTTATTATATATATATTTTGTATTTTATATACATACATATATATAATAAAGTATGTATCGTAGTTGGAGCAAAGTACATGGAAATAACAATGGTGTTCAAAGAGCAATATAATGCAGCGGATGTTTCTCGCATGTATACAATAATATTGAAACGTGTATTTGCCAATGCGAACGTACATATATATGTATGTATATACGTATATATGTATTATGCGTGTGTATATATATACGCATAAGTGAACAATGTATATATANCATATATACAATACATATTGCAGGTCACGTTCGTAGTCGTCTCGGCAAAACTTCTGAAGCAGGTTACTCGCTACGGACAGCCGAAGTTGAAAAAATTAGCGATGCGAGATTCAAGAACGTTAAATATACCGTTTATTGACACAGAAGACATTTTATGATACAGAAGGAACAGTTATATATACATAAATATGCAGCGCGCGCGCGAAGCTTAGCAATTATTTTTAGGAACTATTTTTGAAATGTACGATAACGTCTTAAAGAAACCTGTGACATAACTACATAGCATTATAACACGATACGTGAGTGCGACTTTTTTTAAAAGCAAGTTATGGCAAAGAAAAATGAATAATATACATGGTCGATCCGATGTAACATCTAACGACACGGTTCTTTATTCTATGAAATTTTTATTGTGACTTCTCAGTCTTTCAATGTAGCCGTAATACTTATGAGTTTGATACTTGTATTAAATGATTTAGTAAATCTTTTTCTACATATACCGTTTGTACACATACATGACACGTTACGATCGCTCGAGGGAAACTACAAGGGTTGGTGATCGCGCGTAGCATGATAAGCGTCTCTCTCTTTATCGGGAAACTTCGTCGGTAAGTTCGGGCTGTGCAAGTGGCACTTCGCGGGATACATGATTCCAGCGACGTTCACTTCGTAATTCCCCGACAACACGTACTCGTTCGTTACCTCTTGCGGATGACCCTTCGAGTCCAAATTCTGTACGAATCCAAGACACACCTACGAGTACCGTTCGATGCGTTATTTTCTCCGAAAAGAAAGTACTAATAATGCTCTCGTGGTGATATTGATATTCTAAAATATTATACGCCTACTGCAAAATACATATTTTTTTTGCTAAATCTTGCATTAATGGATACAATAGCTTGGCTTACGAAATGTTAAAGTAGCAATGTAGAAGAAAATTAAGATCTATAAAGTTCAGTTTATTGCAATTCATTATTATATGACAGACATAATACGATGCTTGGAAATGTGAAATTTTGTCTTATGGATATGCTTGAAGAAGAGTTAATAAACAAAAAGAATTTAGACAAACTAGTCATGAAACAGGATACGAACACATTGTATACATTGTATTCATTAATATTTAATGATAAACTTTTTGGTTTTAATAACAGCCTGAGTTCTCTCCGGCATGCTGTCAGACTTCGAATAACATTATGATTAATGTTATGGTGTCATACACGAACAATAATTTTTCTATCTATTTCAACATTTCGTATCTGTAATAACTTAAGTTGTCGAACTCATTAACGCAGAATTTAGCAAACAATTTGCATTTTACAGTAGACTTGCAATACTTTAGAACATCAGTGTGTAAATTTATTGATATTTTTCATCTTATTCGCGACTTGAGCGCACGAAAGGAAAGGAATCCGATTCTCACCTGCTTTTTGAACGTGAACCCGTAACCCGTGGTCGTCGTCATGCCGCAATACTTTCCGTTTCGATAAATAGGTTCACCACCCCAGCACCACGTATCGAATTCGACGTCATGATCGTTCAACAACAATTGCACGTACTTGCGCTTGACTCCTTGTTCACGTTGCCTCAACAGAGCGTCTCTACCAATGAAGTCGACTCCTTTCTATGAGATAGAAATAACTTTTATTAGAACAAAATAGATTTTTTTTTACCGAGATGAGCACGCTGGTGTACGAAAAAATCGTTAAAAATCTCATTATTCTCAACTCATCCTCACATCGAACTTCACACGCCACGATCTTCCACACTCCAAGGGAGTAGTGAACGTATCCAGATCCTGTCCCCAAAACGCGTAGAACTTTTCCACCCGTAAGGCTCGCGTCGCGTAATATCCAGCGTGTTTCATTCCGTATTTCGACCCGACGTCTATCAATCTCGTGTATACGTGCAACGCGAACTGAAATAAACAAAATTTGTAGTCTCCCGAATTTGAAGTATGATTTGTAATAGTGCTATCAATTTCGGGTAGCCGGAAGTCTTTCGGTAACTAAAGTTCATCTTTTGAACTGTCTTTTACCGATAAATGTGCTTTAAATATGGCTCCTCGGTCAATCAGATGGTTCCTAAGCCAATTTTAGAGGCACTTTTATTAGTAAAAGAGAGTTCAGAACACAAGCTTAAGTATACGATTAATTTCAGACGTTACAAATTATTGATTTTTCTAACGATAACAGGTAATAATGACGTCTGAAATAGTCTTATATTCAGTTACTGGAAGACTCAGGGTAGTCAAAATTGGAAGTATTAATTCGTAAGTCGAAAATTGCTTCGGACAGTAGAAAGAAAAATGATAGAAACTGACAAAATAATATTGACCGCTTAAACAAACCGTTACCTCGTTTGGAATATATAAGACGTAGCCGAGTTCTCCGGTGTGCGTTAGATTCATCGTGCGAATACCATTGGCCAGTCCAACGTCTAATTCCTTAAACGTAAAAAACGGAAAGTTTTTTGGGTTCAGATCTATGTCAGTCAGTTCGGTTAACAGCTTTCTGGTCGCCGGGCCCATTATGCAGATGGCGGTGTAAGCCGATGTTACGTCGGACACAGCGACGGAGCCGTCCGACGGCAAATGACGGTGTATCCAATACTTACAACGTGTCTGTTGAATCGTGGGGGCGATCATCATGTAGCTAAAAAAAATTGTTTTCACGTATTACACATCACGTATCACACATGTCCGATTTGCGCGACGCGAATTTGTATGCCGTAACTTACTGATTCGGCGCGATTCGTGCTAAGCTGCAATCATTCTCGTAACCTCCGCGATAATTCTGCATACCGGTATGGATAATACTTCCCACGGGCACGTCGACGTCGTTGGAGCACAAGTATTGTAGTAAGTCGACGACTTCCGTGTCGTTTGACTAAAAAGACATGTCGCGTAAAGTAGCGTAGAGAGAATGTTTAATTGTAATTATATTTTTCTTACATCGTGCTTGTGCGTGTTTAGACCGATTGTTAATACACATATCTATTAATAATTTTATAGTGAATTGTCTTTACTTCGGTAGTGCTTATAAACAACAATTAATCAAATTGATACGTTTTTACAACGCGTATTGTACAAACTTGGTGCACGTCATTGTTCATATGTATCGCCGAAATTGAGATGGTTTAATGGAAAGTTATCAAGTCTGTTTTTTCGCTGAACTAGTGTATACTTCAGAGACAGATACATACAGTTAAAACTTGGTGGATGAAAGAAAACTAATACAAGCTAATTTAGTTAGTTCAGCAAAAAAGACCTACCGTTTGATATGTGTATCGAACAATTGGTGTATAAACTAGCAATATATAATATTTGAGAATATCCGCTCATAATGTATTACCCATAAGTCGATTTTGGTGAAAGAGGAATAATCGCTCAGACCAATCATCTCTCTGCAAGCGGCATATTCTTGCGCGACTTGGTCGAACCAAGGAGGCTTGCCGAAGGTGTTCGTGTACGCTATCTTATATCTTTGGAAACCATCGGGGAATTCTAACGAGAGAGAAAGAGAGGAACATTATATAAAAATATACTATAAAGTATATTTTATTATGATAGATATGAACAAATATTTACAGAGTGACGAAAATCGTGATTCGCGAATATTACCTTCTTCGTCCGGCTGAAACCAGGATGGTCTCTCATAGCCCATGACTTGGCCGAAAACGGCGCCCGCGTCTCGGAGTTTCGGATAGATCGGCGACACCCTCAAGTTCCTGCCGGTCTTGAACTCGTGATGCGGATACTGCAACCCGTAATGCATCCCGGGCACCTCCCGCACTCGGTCACGCAAAAATTTGCGATTGTTGTGCAGCCCGAGGAAACGCGTGACGTCCAATTCATACATGTCCAACGACGTCGCGCCGCTGACTATCAATTCCGCCGTGGCGCGACCGACCCCGCCGGCAGCGGATATCCCGACCTTTAAATAAAAAATTTCGTTCATATTCGTGGTGAGAAATCCAGAGATAAATCTTCAATCGCATCCGACCGATCGATTTACCAACCGTTTTCATCCCGGCTGCGACGTAATAATTACGTATCTCTGGCGCCTCTCCCACAATCCACTTACAATCCGGAGAGAACGCCTCGGGCCCATTGCAGAGTCTCTCCAGGACCGCATTGCCTAAACTCGGAACTCTATGCAGCATCTGTTCCAGCAAGATGTGGAAGTGATCCCAGTCCTCCGGTAAAACTGTCTTGTCTTTGCTTTCTGAAGTTACATCGATGAAAATCTTTGATAAGACATTAATAAGCATATTGATGATACATAACACCATAGTGCAAACAAAGCTGTTAGCAATTGCAACAAGTTAAGCAGACAGTAGCGCTTTGACAAGAATTAATTGACAAATGTTAAAAACGATTTACATCTATATATCTGACCAGGAATAACGCCATCTTCGAACGCCGGTTTTGCCATCGGTTCAAAACCGCCGGCTAACAGGCGCCCGTTATTCTCTCGAAAGTAGATATATCCGTCCAGGTCGCGTATAACAGGAGTCATCGGATCTAAATTAGCAATAGGTTTAGTGTGCAAGTAATAGTGTTCTACTGGATGAAGTGGTACCTGCAAGGTAATCTGTAATGTATCATCCTTTTGCAAAATTCTTTCACACACACAAACTATATTTTTCATAAATATTGCTTCGTAAACTTGCCTTTACGTGTGGCTCACTCAGTTTACCGACATTCCGTGCCCAAAATCCAGCACAGTTGACGAAATGTTGACATTTGACGGTGCCATGTGTTGTTTCTACTGCTCCCACATGGCCATTTTGGTTAATAACTTTTGTAACTGCACAATTTTCATATACTGTAACACCTGAAATGAAGAAATTAAATGATGAAGAATACTGGCACATCTGTCATAATCTGAAGAAATCTAACAAATGTACCTCTTTTTTGTGCCTCTTGGATTAGAGTCAAACAAATCTGGTAAGGATCACCCACACCATCTTCTGGAATCCACAATCCTCCGACAAGATCATCAACTTGTAGTAACGGACACAAATCCCGAATCTCTCCTCGTGAGACTAAGTGGCAGTCGATATCGCATGATCTTTGATATATATTGAGAAAATTAAAATATAATTAATGACTACAATAACGTACAACTTATCACATCTACTGGATATTTACACAGATTGTGCTTTCATTTGTCTGAATGTAGTCATACGATCCCTTGTACGTGCCAACAAAAGGCTGCCACATTGTTTCCAGCCAGTTGGAAGACCTTTTTTCTCCAATTCCTGATATAACGCAATACTGTCTTGAGCAAGTTTAACTTGAGCTAAGCTAGGTTTGAAAGCTCCTACCAATCCTGATGTATGCCATGTTGTTCCACCTCCTAGTCTAACAATAAGATGAAAATATACGCAAACTCATACTTTTGGTGTAATTTCTTGAAAAATATGTAAATTAAGAACATGTACTTGTTACTCTCCACTAAAATAGTCTCTGGTCCTAATCCTATAAGGGATAAATGATAAGCTACAGCACCTCCCATAACTCCACCTCCGCATATGACTACTCGTGCCTCCTTAGGAAGTGCATATTCTGGATCTTCAGAAACTATATCAGTAGATTTCAAAACTACTCCTGCTGTCTTGCGACTGCTGGAGAAAATACTTCTCTTTTGTACTGCACATCTATTGTAAAGCAATTTGTAGTGTCTCCACATCTTAATTAGTTATAATAATCAAATTACGCCTATTTTTCTCTTATATTCCCTGAGTTACGAAAAGTGCATTATCGGACCTCGAGCAATTTTAACCAAATATTTTCCGTATATGACACTACTTTATCGGTGATCATAATTGCTAATGACAGGTTAGAATAATATTATGTTACAAAAGCCTAGTTTTTCAAACGCATGCTTACAGTTCTGCGCCAATCATGTGAATCGGGCTTGAATGAGCAGAGGACAATTTTTACGTAGTGAGTCACTTTCCTTGTTGGATCTCATTGTCTATGGCGATCGACCGTACCTGCCGCCATTTGCAGTCGTTCGCTAGCGTTCATTTTCTCGAATTTTGCGTCGACTTCGCTCGTATCACGGCCAGCGTTATCGTCTCGGTAAGCAAGCTCCGATCTTTTCATATCGCATATGCTAAATCGGGACATCTATTCGGTATTGTGCCTCGTAAATATCGCGTGTAAAAGTGCGAGTGCCACGACAGCTCAGAAATTTTTAAGATTCCTCGGATTAGCGTTATCCGCCACGTTGCTTTGGCGAGCCTCCGCACAAAACAATATAATTGCATTCTATATATAGGCGATCCTATTACTATATTTACTACATCATCTTTTCTATTCGCATATAAAGCACTACTGGCACGATGTCGTTCAATCGAGGAGTGAAGAGGGATTCCTTCGGAAATCGGGGGAATTTCAATCGTAATAGTGGCGGCGGCGGCAATAACAATCGACTTAGCAACATGGGCAACAGTATGGGAAATAACATGGGTGGAGGGATGAGTGGAGGCGGCATGGGTGGAATGAATCCCTGGGAAAGTGGTATGATGCCTGGCAGAGGTATCCTACCTACACCCAACAACAATCTCTCCCTGGCATCTCCACAGGCGCAGCTGGCAATTGCTAGCAACCTTCTGACGAACTTGCTTCGCAGCCAGCAGGAAGTACAACCTCAGGTATAAGAGCATATTTTCTTGAAAGCTATTTTCTGGTACATAGGATGTCCCAGATCAACATGAACAAACTTCATGAGGACATAAAACAGATTGAGGTGAACAAAAAAGTCCTCTGTTATTTTGCAAATAACACGCAAAATGTGGCGCGTTGAAAACAGTCATGTATAAAAGCTTTAATTAATAACTCAAAAATTTGTATATTTGCAAAATAACAAAAGATTTTTTTGTAACCTTATCTATAAATAGGGTTGGGCAAAATTATCAATGGGTATCGATTATAATGTTTGAGAAACATCAATGTTCACTCATTGAGGATGGTGTTACATCTAGAGAAAATGTTAAGGATTCTAAAAATTCTCTATCCAACAGCCAATTAGTACATCTGACAAACTCATACGACGCATTCTTAATGAGCGAACATCGATATTTTTCAAACATTGATAATTTTGCTCATCTTTATCTATAAATATATAACAGTTGTTGTACTTAGTGACAGATTCTATGTTCAATACTTGATATACTGATATCTGTTGCTAAATACAACAGCTATATGTTAGTAAATTAGTCATTCTGGATATTGATCACATAACTTTTCTCCTAGGGTGGAATTGTGAGAATTGAAATGTTTTCAAATTAGAAAATTTACACTTTTCATGAATTCATGCTAGAGAAGATTCATGTTCCTCTGGGCGCTGATCATGAATCTTTTCTAGCATGAATTCATGAAAAGTGTAAAGTTGAAAACATTTTGTTTCTTATGTTTCCATCCTAAGAGAAAAGTTGATCAATATCCTGAAAAAAAAACTTCTTTGCCATTTTGCAAATAACACACAACTTTTGAGTTATTAATTAAAGAAGCCTCTATACATGACTATTCTGAATAATTAATAATTCGAAATTTTGCGTGTTTGTAAAATAATAAAGGACTTTTTTGTCCACCTTAATCCGTTTTAGGCCTTCATGAAATTTGTCCCTGTTGGTCTAGGACACATAAACATTACCTTGATCCATTGTTATATATCCAAACAGGTGCCATCGCTTATGAGCCTTGGAAATAATTTTTCCGGACCAGGGCCGAACTATTCTAACCAACAGAACTTTTCCTCAGGACGGTTTAATGATCGGCCGGCGCGACATGGTCTGAAAAATCAACGTCAGCAACCGTACAACAAGGTAAGCGAGCCTCGCACATTATGATTATATTCTTCCCAAGCAGGCGTTATCATAAAAAGACACTTCTCTTGACACTTTTGCTTTACGATCTTCCCCTGTATCGTCAACAGAAGTTGCAAAATGACAATCTATGACCTAGGCTCCCTCGCTTGGACGCAAACTATTCTTAACTGTTCTGAATGTTTACGAATTTCTCTTCTCGTGGCGACCAACAATCGATCGATTAAATGGGATTATATCGTTCACTCGATTAGACACGACCAGCGAAATCACTAAGATAAATAATTCTTGTTGATGGTGATCAGCCTTGAATCCGAGACTACTCTCCTACCTAGGAGCACTAGATATTCACCCGATGTTAATGTATTTCATTAAGAAAGTGCACTGTTGAAAGACGTGTGTTGATTTCAGAAAGAATAATTCTCAAATTTTGTTACTACCGGAAACTCGCCGGAGGTTCTTTCGCGCGGAGCGAGCGTGAAGCTGACGTTGTGAAAACTCGTCTTACAATCTGTAAAACCCGAGTCTTCTGTCTCCTACCAATTTGTACACACGATCATTATAAAACCGGCTGCGGTTGCACTTTATTCAAAACTGCTACTATTACTACTACAACAACAACAACAACTACTACTACTGCTACTACTACTATTACTACTACTACTACTACTACTACTATCGCTTACGTACGCAAGAGTTGCAGATTTCACTTGATATTAGCTTCTTCTTCACGTTGATTAGTATTCACTGACTTTTGCTCGAGTACTTTGTAGTGGATTTAATTACGTCTACTTTTACGAAACTATGATCGAGCCCTATTTGATCGTTGCCGTTGCGTACACACACGATGTGCATCTTCGACTCGAAATCGGGATGCACGCTCCACCACGGTTTTTCCTCCCCCCCGCCGGCCGTTCCTACCGCATCTATGATGCGGAAAATGGGAAAAGACCTACGTACAGTACGTCTCACCGGCAAATATGTCCCGCTTCCATTATCGACTACAACTGTTTTTTCTCCCTCAAATCCCAAGTGGTTTTCTATAGAACCAATCTCGATTTGAGAAGAATCACAGTTACGTCTGATACTTCTCTCATGATGCTTTTGGTCATTTGACCGATCAACCGACTGACTAGATGGGCAATCGCGCCCGAGACGGCCCTGCTGGGCGACGTGGTCCGTCCGCACAACAATCTCGTGCGCCCCAGTCCGGCAGTCAACGTATGAACGGAAACCAAATCCAACATCGCAACGATAAGTCTTCTAAACCAATTCCTGCCTCTAAACAAAATCAGACTGCCAAAAAGGAACAGCAGGATGTTAAGACCTGTGATACTGAAAAAGCAGAAGCGCCTGCTCCGAAAAGGTAAGCGGCCGATTATCTGTGATCGGTAATAGTTTCTTCAAATTTCATTCTCTCCGAGCTACTATTTTGCCTGTTATATATATATGTATATATGTATACATATATATATGTATGTGCACAGATAAATACATTTTATACGTATTTTATACATGCGTGTCACTTAATGTAACTACACATATATCGTTTATAGTATACCGCAAATCTCTCTCGAAAAATTTCTCTCTTATCTGTATCTTTCAATTTATTGCGATGCACACTCTTTTTCTGGTACTGCGATTCGATTCTCACATTTCACGCCCAGAAACGACCAGACATTGGCCAAGGGTGCTAAAAAATTTCCGTTCCGACTAATTCCGTTTTTTTCGTAATTTCCTCATCCTGTACGTTTTGACGGGAATCGTGCCAATCGGCGAGAATACCGTTTGTTATCTGTACATCTCTAATGGGATGTACAGAGTCGCATCCTCCTAAAGTGCTTCCACACGAGCATCAGTCCAATTTTCGTCATTGTTATCGACAAAATTTCGTGTACGTGAACACTGTAAATTGTCCAGCCTACTACATATACGACTAGATTCGTAATTATATTTGTAAATTAAAGTTTAACAGCGAATTTAACATAAATGTGGTCAACTGGTGGGATCAACTACGAAATTATTTCCGGAATATTGACGAAGCTTTATTCTATACAATATATTATTTGTGATGCAGCGGTGAAGACGTGGAAGAAACCGAGGATAAGAAACGCGATTGGAAGGATGAGAAGGATGAAACGGAAGAAGTAGAGGGGAAAACGGAGGAGGGTGACAAAACGATGGATGTTGACACGAGTATGGAAAAGTCCGCCATTGCGGAAGAGACGCCGAAAGAGGCGAGCACGCCCTCACCCGAGAAGGACGCGAAAACAACCGGCAAGAAATCTGAGGCTAGACATGCCGAGAGTCGTTATGCCGAGGTTCCGATGAGCCACATGTTTTGCCATATCTGCAACAAGCACATGTGGGACGGATACGTATGTATCGACGCGCGATGGACAGAGGCCGATGTTCATAGTCGGATCTTGCGTTTAAGACCGTGTTTATCTTCTGATGCTATACGGCTCATTTCATTGGCTACGAAACATCTGAAAATGAACTTACGACGATCTTAAATATAAGATCCGACTATGAATATCAAAGATTTTGAAGATGTTACGAAAAGACCTGTGCACTTACTATGCTCACAGGAAGTAAAAAAGACATCATTTCTTATAGATTTTGAGGCGACAGTGTTAATTAATCCTTTCGCTGCGTACGACGGATATACTTGTCGCTGAAAAGTAGCTTCTCAATTGCATACACCATGTATAGTTACGAACAGAAAGGTTATTGCATTCTCTAGGCATAGTGATATCAGAAATTTCGAATTAACCGTATCATTTTTTAATATTAATGCGTCATAATTGCTGCTTTGGCCTTGCCGATTCACAGAATAATCAGCAGTCATAATGCACGAATATTCAGAAACGATACTCTAAATTCGAAATTTCCGATATCACAGTGCGACAACCTTCTTATCGCACCTTCTGTCCGCGACTGTGGAAAATCGTTCATTATTTGTGGACGCTGTCTGTCACAAGATGGTTGTAACAATTTTTTTTTTTTTTTTTTTTATGCTTCGGAATACAAAGATACGACAAAGCGAACTTATGATTCATGAACATGCGCAGATGGTCAGATAGCTATCAACGTTACATATGTGTATACATAATACATATAAGATATACATATGTAATTTTGACAACTGTCTGACTATCTGCTGCGTATGTTCACTTCGTCGTATCTTTTATGATATTGATAAAATGCAAGCAGGAAAATTATCTTGGAAAGATTTTTTTTTTCTAAAAAGATAATTTCCCTGCAATATTATATTTTTATTATTATTGTTTTGTCAATTTCATGTTGCTTTTTGATTTAGTATGATCCGATTATATAAGTAAAAAGTACTTATTTTGCAGTACGTGACGACCATCTTTTTCTCTATAGAATATCTTATGAAAGAAAATTCTTCTGTGCTTGCACGAACATGTTCGAATCGGCTTCCCGCACTCAGCATTCGTAAACTTCAGCCTTAGAAACCATAAGAAATGATCTAACTATCTTGTTTTTCTCGAGCGCAGCAAAAACAGACCTTCTGGTAACAATCTTCTTTGTACGGATATTCGTAAGAATATTTGACTGATCATCATCACGTTCCTCCGCAGTCTTTTGAAAATCATCTTCGGGGACGCGCACATCAGCTGATGATGGAGAAGCTGGATGAATCTTACAAACTGAAGGTCGACCTGATGCGACATGAGCTTCGTGTTGCCGAGGAGCAACGCGAACTCAGCTTGAACAACTCGAAACGACGTGGCAAAAAAGTAAGATTCCTATTTTTCTCCAGAAAGTCCGGCGATTCACCTCGCGAATACCGTGTACGTATTTGTGAATTTTCGATTGCAGGTCTCCGTGGACTTCAACGTTAGAGAGTACTGTACTATGTGCGACTTGAATTTCTACGGGACTCTGTCTACGCACAGGAAGAGTGAGAAGCATCAGCAGCTGAAGACTTTTTTGCATCCCCGATGTTTCCCTTGCTTGAAAGAATTTCCGTCTCGCATCGAGTACGATGAGCACTGCTTGACACCCACTCATATGAAGAACGCTGTTCAGTGCGAGGAACAACGGAAAAACAAAAAGAAAGGTAATTGAAGAAGAATTAAGAAACGAACTGATATTGAGGAGTAAAGAAAAAAAAACTGATTAAAAATAATATTTCGCAGAAAAATTGGCGAAGGGAGAAGCTGAAGTCCGTAGCGCGGAGGACGAGGAGAAGGACGTTTGGCATGACACGAAGAATGACAAAGAAGAAGATTCCGGAGAACAAGAATACATCACGGATATCACGGAAAATATGGGCGAGACCAAGTTCAAGATCCCGTCTTACAAGTACTGTCGTCAGAAGCAGATAGGCGTCGGTACGGATCGCACGATAATCATGATCTCGCGTAAAAACTGTGCATGTTGTACGAATATTATTTTCAATAATGATCGTTATTTTACTCAGGTAAATCGATGATCAAGGAGGTGCAAGGATTTTACTGTGAGCGTTGCCGGCGGTTCATGCTCTTGGCTGATGACATGAACGCTCATCTACGCAGTATCACTCACTACCGAAACTTCTTGGCAGAGGTGAAGTCGTCAACGTCAGTCGCCGCGGCTGCCGAGTCGAAGGAAGCCGAGCAAAGCGAGGTGAACGACGACGTCTCATGAGAATAACGTCATAGTGGAAGAAGCTCTCGAGATTCGTTAAAACTGAATCTTTGTCCGTAGGGTGAGAAGAATGCCGCTCAGATCTCGGAGGAATTCGATGGGAACTGGAAACGTCGCAAGACTTCTCACGATGATGAGACCAACGACGAGAACAACGACCAGCCGAATGAGCCGCAAGAGAGCAACGCCGATAACGCGAACACGCCGAAGAAGTCGGATGGAGAGGAAAAGTACGACCCGTTGGAAGCTGATGCCGAGTCCGAGGAGGATGAGACGAATCGCGAACCAGCGCCGGAGGTGGCGCCGGCGGAGGCTACGCAAAATGCCTCCGCTAACGGGCAGGAAAAAACGCCGATCGATGAGATGTGGACGGACGCGGATGCTGACGATGCCGAGATGGGTAATTTGATCGACGAGACGGACGAGAAGGAATTACGAGACACGGATTACGAGAAAGCCGCCCCGCCGAAGGTAGAACGTAATGTCAGCCCGCCGAAAATGCCTCGAGGACGCGGATATGCACGCGGTCGCGGCGGCCCGCGTGCCAGGAGATCTCGGCGATAAGCTGACGCGGTACGAATCGCGATACGCGAAAGTACGAAAGTATATGAAGAGGCGTGGAAAATGCATCGCAGCCGGTAGAAGCTAGATGAACATTTTCCGCGCTGCTACAAGTCCTAATGATAATGCAAAACATATAGAGCATGCGAACATTTCTATTGTCAATGCATATTTAGACACGTGTAATATTATGCGTATGTTGTATTCACGTGGATTACGTGTGTAGCGTAAAATCTAATTTGTAAGCGACCTATCTTACTCGCGGCACATAACGGAAGGAAAGAGGAGAACGAGAAACACAAGATTTCATCGGGATCGGCAGTATAGAAGTCTTAGACTACTATTGGTTCTCGTTACATGTCTCATATTTTAATTCGTTTCCTTATAACGACAAAGACCTGTGTTTCGGATCATAAGCTAAATAAAACACATTTATTGTATACAATATATTCACACTGACATGAATGTTTGTTTTATTTTGTTTCATCTCGGCAATTATCGAAAAAAGGTTTGTTTTCTATTCCCGAACTGGCGGCATCAGTTCAAAACAATTGCGTTCCGACATATTCATTCGCATACACTTATATATTGTGAAACTGTATCATTTTTTTTTAGCACGCACTCGGGAAAAATATTATAAGGCAACGGATTAATGATTATTATTGACATGTATACGGCGCTAATTTACGTGGAGAGATACTCAAGTACTGTGTGTGCAATTGTAGATGTATTTGTAAAGATCGCGCGTGCACAGTTGCGTATATGGTACTAAAAGGCAGGATCAGGATATATCACGTATGTGTAAGCGAGTATATTGATCGTGATCGAAATTTAAGTACGAATCTAATTATACAAAGATCTAATGCGTCGTATACAACCGACATAATAGCCCTAACATCCAGCAAGATGTATTTGGATTCAATATGATTTCAGCACTTTTTTTTCAACGCAGTTCAGAACCCAATCGATGTCCAATAGAACTCCTTTCCTCACTAATTACCAGAAATTGAGTTCTCTCATTGGTGACGTTCCAAACTACATTGAGAAAAAAATATTGAAACCAAGTGCCTAATAGTCACTAGGATTTTTTAGTCACTCGCGCATTATGCCGACATATTTGTGTATCTCATAACTGTTGCTTTTTCAAAAGAACGATGACGATATTTCAGTTATTTAGAACGATGATTAAATATTACAAATATAAATACGTAGTACACACATATATATATATATATATATGATTTATATTTATATATTATATAAATATATTGAGAGATACATATAGGCCCAGTTTTCCATTTTATGATTAACTTATAATTTAGACTTAAACTGATGATAATGATAAATAAGAAAAATTGTTTTTCTATTTATGGTTAATCATTAAATCAATGTGTTTGCAATGGTAATTACATATACTTTTAAAATTTAACGATTAATCATTAGTAGAAAAACATTATACATCATTTTTACGTTATTATCATGTTAAGCTTAAACCACAAGTTAACCAGAAAACGAAAAACTTAAAAACCCTTACGTGTGATTGAAAAATTCTGGTAACCCTATGCCTATAGTACATATTAAGCCCGTGTCAGACTACGGATTGGAGATTGAGATTGAACTGAAATTTGATCAATCAGTACAAAATTCACTAAATTACTAAACTTGAATTCAGTTAACTTTGCCATTGGCCAAATTCAATTCAATCTCAATCCCCAATCCAATCTGATACGGGCTTTAAGGGTATTATGTCTGTTGTGTATGTGACGTTAGATTTAGATGACCGTCACTTTATTCTTTACATAGTGATACGAATATTCTTATGGATATATCATTCTTTGATATGTTAGAAAAGATTAGAGAAAAATCACTTTATACATTCGCGAGCTCATTGGGAGAGCTTCCTCCATAATTACAGAAAGAAAACCACAAATATTCGAATCTTTCAAACTGTACATGTGTATCATTTCGCATTGGTTCACCAATTTCACGCATATTGAAGTACGTACGAAACTGGCGATGCTTATAAAAAAAAATACATGATGTCATACATTTCCAGTTTTATAATTTACTTCAATATAATCTCGTGTGATAATTTTAACAATATAATGAATGGAGGACTTTTGTATGCAGGCAAAAGATTCAATTGAATTGTATTATTATCATTTAGAAATAAGATATTTCCCTCGGAGAAGGATCTTTTTGTATTCTATTTCATAGCGTGCAAATAAATTACTAAGCAGAAGCCTCTGAGAAACCTTAAACATGATATTGTATGTTTAGGTTCAATGTGATGTGTATGATAAAATGATAATAAGTTATCCAGATGAATATACTGTGACTTGCGGGATATCTATATAGATATAGAGATACATATATTCATATATTAATAATTCGATAGAAAAATTTATGTATCAATAGAGTATATTTCCTATCTTTACTAATCCTTAGAGAGATGTGTTGACAGAAATTCATCTACAGAGTCTGTGTCCCACTTGTGTATATCCAGTATATCTTCAACTCTATTTTCTGCATCATACAATTTAATGATCGGATCTAAACCTCTCACATACTTTATACTAAGGTTCTTATATTTCTTTGGTCTGTCACTTTTGATGAAAGCTGAAAGAAATGTATTGGTTATATGTAACAATGTTGTGTTAAGCAATAATCTAATTGTCGAAGGTAACTTAGTTTAATTGTATACCTTGTATCTGTGGATATGCACCAAACTTGCACGTGCACACCTCAAGGACAGCCTTAGGATAGCGTTTCGATCCGGACAAGTCGTAATCGTTATCTTTCAAACAACATTCCTTGCATGTAGCACTATTACAAAAAAAAAAGAAATAAAGAAAAATTTCTGTAAGTTGAGTTTTGGATATTTCTAAAGAAAAAAAAATCTTTTGTTAAATTCATATTTACATACAGTATTTTTGTTAGATTAGGATCGGTAAAATGTTCACAGGTCGAGCAAAGTAGGTTGGCTTTGTTAAATCCCAACATCTTGCAATCGTCTGCAGAAAATTCTGCTATTACATTGTTCACCTATAATGTGTATCTCGTTAGTGTCATTGCATAAATGTATTAGTGAGTAATCTATTTCTTAAGCTTATAATATATATATATATATATATAATGTTATATATATATATATATATATACATATAATTTCATATAGATCCCTCTGAAAGTATAATAAAAATGTAAATTATCTTAAGACGAAAATTTAAACATATGATTACAAGTTGCAATACGTGGAGGTTATGTTTTTACTCACCGCAGCAATGACTGAAATGAGAAGCGTATATGGCAAAAAATGCATTTCGAAACGTTTTATGAGCCTAACTAGCGAGCTGATTAATCAAATCGTGTGCAAAATTGAAATAAAAGCGCGTAATGCACAGCAACTGCTGGATATAAAATTAAGAATGACATTGATCGACCGACGAATCGACACTTTTCTACCAAAAGATCGATTTGGACGTTTCCACAATCGTTGGCTGTTGAGTAGAGAATTTTCCAGAATCCCTAACAATTTTCCTAGACACCGTAGAAATTCTCTATCTGACAGCCGGATATGCCAATCGGCATATCTTACAAAAACTCGTTATATGACGCAAGTAATACCAAACTTACAGTTTTCATGAGTTGCGAGAGACTAGCTAGTTTCTTTTTCGCGAACCTTCATTGGCTGGCTCGCTCGTTGCAAGAAAAGGTTTTTGATTTGTTGACAGCTTGGCATGCGCCGACGATATAGCTACACTGTTGACCTTTAGGCTTGTTCTACAATACGCCGTATGTCAAAGTCGAATATCGGAACGCTGCCGATGATCCAATGAGGAGTATTCGTTCTCGAAAATTAAATTCTTTCATTGGACCATTGGCTGCGTTCCGACACCTGACTTCGACATACGGCATATTGCAGAACAGCCTTACTAATATGTGAGATTATCAGTCTTGGTTACTAGCATCTCACTGACAAAACAGAGATGATGTATTTTATTATTTATTTCTAGCATTGTTATGCTTTTGCATTTTTGACTTTTTCATGTTTGTTTAATACTATGTTATATTTTTTATAAGTACGTTTTAAAGGTAAAAAATTGCTAGCTATGCGATGTATGAAGCTTTCATTAACGGTTATCGTTTGGCCGATGTGTTACATGGAAAACCTTATTATGTATATTGTATCGAAGTTCTGGAATCAAAAACCAATACTCGATATTTCATTGAGAAAAGATACAGTGAATTTAGCGCGTTACATCGTACGGTAAGCTATTGAAATATCGCCTATTGTAAACGCCTAATGTTATGATAACACTATCTTTTATGATATATTGTTATGATAACACTTATGATATATTAGATAAAATTTATTTAGAAGTAATTGTAACAAACATAACATTCGTAATTCCTCACGAATTCTCGGAGTATCCGAAGTATTGAGTAGTGAGGTATTCATTATAATTAATTTCTGAGGAATATTTCAAAACGAACTGATTATGGTTAATTCTTCAAAAATTCATCTGATATTCATTCGTCTAATTCTGTATGTATTTTTTAAAGTGAATTCTCTATAAATTTCTATTCACCTCTGTGCTGTTTGAGATCTTTTTGGAGATTTAAGATAAATTAAGATTAGTATAACCAAGAGAACATAAATTTACTTTTTAATTAAATTTAATTAAACAGTAAAATTTTGATGACCAATAAAAAAAGATATAATATTCTTCTTAAAGAAAATTCATATTTAAATTAATCAAAAGTTATAATGGAAAGATTATTAATTATGCTATATCCAGTGAATAACATTATATTTTACAGAAAAATTTTTACTTACAGTTGAAAAAGTATAATTCAGATATTGCTCCATTTCCACCAAAAAGAGTAAGAAATTCGCAACCAAAACTATTAGAGCAACGACGGGCTGCTTTGGAATTATATATACAAAAGATGTTACGTCTGATGGCAACAAAACAGCAAGTTCTCAATTTTCTAGGCATAGAAATTCAGGAAACTGATGTACCCTATAAACGGTATCACTTTAAATTTATTAAAATTAAGAAAATGAAGAAATGAAAATGTTCCGTTACTCTGTAAAAATATCGTAATCAAATTGCATTGTTTTTTTGGAAGATATTTATATTGCAGCGATCAGTATATTTAATTTGAAAAATATAAATACATAAAATTTGATATCTGTGAAATTTTATTCTAAACATGTATAATTATATTTGATATTTAATAATAGCTTTAATATTTAATCATGCACCTTATTTTTGGCTTTTGCAGAATACACAAAACTGTAAATAGTTTGAGACATAGTCATTCAAATACACTGAGACATCATCCGGTCCTAACTTTTCACTCTGATCCATATATCCAAGCTGACCCTACTAGCAGTCTCCCGGATGTTGTAACTAATGGTGTACTGTTGGGAATATATAAATCGTGAGATTCCCAATATATTAAAAGTATTTTACACGGATATTAAGAGAATAAGTATAATTGCATTTTTCGTCTAGCATATGTAAAATATAATATGATAAAATAATGTTGCTATAAAGGTATTGTACTTCCCGCAAATAAGATAATTGAAAGATTATACAAGTGCATATCTTCGGAAGGAAAAAAAAAATTAAGTGCTTCCAATAAATGTTTGTGTGTATAAAATCTTCCCAGCAAACCAATATAAGACCTTTACATAACCTTGGGAATACATGAAAAGAACAATGTTTCACGGTTATATATTAATATTATCTTCGATATTCATTCATATAAACTCGGACGGAAATAAACGTTACATTAGTGTTTTGGAAAGCTTGACACTAGTTATTAGGATTTAGAATAAGAAATAGAAGGTTCTTTTTTCAAAAATCAATGTTACTAACCTGACCTTGATAACGTAATCTAAATTTTTAATTTTGTTAAATACATTAGTTTGTATTCTGCAACTTTTGTCTATAATATTTATCTATAAAAATGTTTTATTTTCGACGTATTTTACCGTTGCCGGACTTTTGAGACACTGTATTGAATTGGAACAAAGTTCGTAAAGTTTTTTAAGTAAAATTCAATAGTGGTTAATGTTAGTGGTACAGTAAGTTGAAATTCATATAGCTAAAAATTAATGTTTAATATAATAACCTTCTCTCAGAAACAAATTTTAGTATAATTATTTTTTAATTCTTTATTTTTTCTCTTTAGAGTACGGGTACAATTGTTATGAATAAGATTATTTCAATAATGTTTTTAATACCATATTTTATCTAGGCTCTTCTTGTTGTATTTTTTTGTAAAGGCAAAAAACGGCGAAACGCGTGCATTTGTCTTTTTACTTTGCCATACATACAAATTTATAACAAAAGCGCACAGAGTTATTAACTCGCCTTCGCATTTAACTAAAGAAAAGCTGTGCAATATATTAGACATTATATGCTATATAATATTATATTTATAATTAAAATTAATATATTTAGTATTTCTACTTTTTTCGAGCCATTTAGAAAAGGATAGAAAAAATCATAGGGCAACATGATATCTAAATTAGGTCCACCGACAAAATAATATTTGGACGGCTTCGAAACGTCATAAAAATTGACATAGGAAAAGATATCAACATGGAGAATATTCGTACAATTTTTTACTGTACACTTTGACCAAATAACATCTTCTTCCTTACCAAACGTAACACCGACGCCCAATATTTTATAATTCATTAAAGTTTTCGATTTCCGCAATGTCGAATAAAGGACATCTAAGTGTAAAGACGTAACTAATCCTGAACATGAGATCTGTTTTCCGATTATCCTCGCAGTCACAACATTTTGTGGTATCCTATCAAATGTGATACGCAGCCAGTCCATTATATTTTTGCTGGTGAAATTACCGAGTTTAGAAATGTAAGTGCTGTAACGCTGATTTACATTTAGTAAGGAATCTTTCATCAAGAGATTCATCGTCATATTTTGTAGTTTTGTGCAAGATGACATGGTGAAATTTTTAGTGAACAATTTAACAAAACATTTTAACTTAATATCTTCACCGAAGGCAACAATATGTCTATCATACTCCCCATTCTTTCCACAGAATGGCAATGTAAGAAATGCGTCGGTCTTGTTAAAAAGAATTTCATCGCTTTCATTGGCGCGAAATCCAATAATAATCGGTTTACCTATTACATAGCCAGGATTTCCACTACGAACGAAAATTCTTGTTTTATTTGTGTCTATCCAATCGTATTGGATTTCAAAATATTGATAGAAGGCGCGAGAAACATTGCCTATATTGAAATATACATCAATGCTGTTAATACCAGCAGAACCGTTGTGACCGATCATATATTTTAAACCCTTTACAATATTTGTACATGTAAAGTTCGTGCAAAAACTTGACACTTTAGTTCGATTACAGTCAGAAAATGAATTCAGACAGTAATGAATCCTCATCGGCAAACAGACGTTCCTTTGGCAAATCTAAAAATACAATATCTAAGATTAGGAACAGCTATTAGAGATGTACCCGAGCAAAATTTTTCACATCTGGTCGCATATAAATATATATAATTGTTCATAGTTACATATGATTAGACCTCAAAATATATCATACTATATATGGTATCATATAATTCTATATGTTATCATAAATAGCTTCATATTCAATCATGTACAGTATTCCCGATATGTTCCCAATTTTTGATTTCAATATATTACAAGCTCATCAAAATCAGAAGTGGACATATCCACGAGTTTTCTTATAAGTAGGAAATAGTTTATATTAATTGGATTCAATCTTATCTCTAAGAAAAATGTACTTTATTATTTATAAAACCATTTTGTAGTAATCATAAAACTATACCTGTTCTGTTATGAGTGTCTCGTTGAACAAAGGTGGCGAACTAATAATAGTAAAATTACTGAATGTTATAGGAAACAAATATGGATTAACATTTGTTAATTCATTTTGTATGCATGCACTTTTCCAATTCTCTAAATATTTTAAAGTCTTTTTGAATGAACACTTCTCATTAAAACCAGGTTGTAAAAGTTCTGAAACAAATGTTATATCATTAATAATTCTGAACTAATAAACTAAACGCCTTTTTCAATGAAAATTCCAATGAAATATTCAATAAATTCATTAATATTTTTATGTTACCTGTTGGTTCAATAAAATTGTTATGTAATTTCCACAATATGTCTCCATGTTGGTAATATTTAGTTAAATTATATTTGAGCAACGTTTTGGCATTTTTTAAATTCCATTTATATCTCTCCATCTGCACCACTCGCCACAAGTCTTCCTTATTTTGTAGTATCTATAATAAAAATAATTGAATAGTAATACATAACATAGCATTCACGCGCGCACACATGTACGCACGAAGTATACA